AAAAGTCGTGTACTCAGCGTAGGTGATGTTGCCTTCAAAGTCTTCCAGGTCAACTCTCAATATGACGTCTTCAGAGTCTGTCAAACGATGTATATTGTCGTTTCCAAGCCAGAACTCGCCACACAGATTTCCAAAGCCGTTTTTGTAGGATTCCCATCCACGATAGAAGTCAACGGAGCCGTCCAAACGTCTCTGAAAAACAGTCCAACCTCCACCTTCCGTTGCCATGTCACACAACACTTGTATCGAATTGCCACCATCTGGATTGATGGTATATACGCCACTGGAATTCCAACCGTCTCGAAGCAGTTCGGCGCAGCTTTTTCGTTCTATAACAGTACAATGGTAGGAAAAAACCACGGTAATTTTGTGAATTAGACATTCATAAAAGACAGAGCTGAACACTTTAAGAGCCAATTGAAACCAGTTCGGAAATAGGAAGCTCGAGGCAGATTGGGATTTAGTAGACATAGCCACTCTCTAAACTCTATCCACAATGCTCTAGTCAAACCACATTTCAATAACTGCTGTAAGGTCTGTGACACCATCGGAAAAGGCTACTCTGACATAGTAAAAAAGTAGCAAAATAGGTCTGCCAGACTCATGCATGTCAGCAACAATATTCACAAGGTTCTTAGTTCCTTAGGCTAGGAAACCTTAAACAGTTAGAGAGTTAACTCAAAATGTCGGGAGTTGTTTAAAGTGCCTAACTGCTCGGCACCAAGATGTCTCGCTGAATTTTTCCTAAGAAAGGGTGGCACTACTCAATACAATCTCAGGGGCTCCTCTATCTCACTGCAGCTACTTTTATTCAAAGAAATATTTTACCTATTAGGGTAGATATCACTTTATATTCCAACTGGAACAAAACTCGCTAAATATTCACCTTCACATAGAAACCCATCGCCTTTATATCCATCCTTGCACAGGCAGCTGTATGACCCTTCAGAATTGTTACATATGGCGTTCACGTGACAGGCATGCTTTCCGTCTGTGCACTCGTCCAAATCTACAAAATATTAACCTACCTCCATTTCTGATCTCTCTCAAAACCGCAGAAGAAAGTGATCACAGCATCATGAAGTAGTTAATGCTAAACTTATTACACTCATTTACCTGATTCACACTTGTCTCCGGTAAATCCCGGTGAGCAAACGCAGAGATAGGTTTCGTGTTCAAAATCTGAATAACATCGTGAGTTTGGAGGACACTGAGCGGTACCACATGGATTCTTTAATAGAATGCAAAAGAAAATAATGCGTAGATTAAATGAAAAGAACCAACTTGTTTTGGTTTTTCGAAAGATATTCAGAAGGCAAACAGATCGCTACATGAATAAAGGTATGTAAGAAAGAAAAGATGACACAAACTTCTTTATTAATTGGTTTAAATTTCTAATTGGATGTGGAACATGGTCCAAATATCATCGTACATGCAACCCTTGGCAGATTAAACATTTTAGCAATATCTCTCACAGCTACCAAATTTACATAACGTAACCTTGCCCAATCGGCTCTCCACATGCAGGCGCTTGAATATGACCATAAATCACTCTTTGAACCAAGTTTCACAGCTTGAAGCGGGCAACGACAAATTATAGAGTTTTCTTGATGTAATATCAGAAGGTTAGCTATTACATGGAATTTCCATCGCCTTCAAGAGGTTTTTCCGAGTTTTGCGACGAGTTTTTGCCAACATTTCGTGGTCCAAGAATTACGAAATTCATCTGTCAATTATCAAAAAGCGATTTCTCTATTTTCATGTTATGCTTTTCACTACACCCCCTCCCCATGATACCTTTGTTGCACGGTGAAGGAAGTCTTGTCTTGCCCTCAAGTCATCTGGATCTCTAACACCATCGGAATCACTCAGCTCGCACAAGTAATCACCATTCTCATTTGGACCAAAGTTGTATGATTCACACTTGATTTCAATGAAACATTGTATTTCACAACTATCTGCTGTCTTTGCTATCGGTGTGCTGATCACGTGATTTAGGAGAGCCTTGTTTGCAACTTTCTCTTCAAACTCCTTTGTTATGCATGGAACTATTTAAGATTCACAACACCGAACAACTATCAATTATTTATTTCTAAGAATCGCGAACAACTTCTGGTTTCTTGTATGGAGTCTTTATAAATAGAAACGTTTCGATTTTAGTTGACAGCGAGACAATAATAATCAAATGCCCACGTTGTAGTTCCGAACATTTGGGGCAAAGACTTTATGAGCCATACTATAACGTGGTTTCTCTCTAAACAAAAAAGTTCGCAATGACTTGACAGCGAGCTCCACTGCGAGACAAGATGGCTTAATGTAAAAACACTGGTGTACTGGATTTCTCAAGTTATCAAAAAATTACACGTTTAATCATAATTTGGCAAAAGCCGGTTAGCAAATGTAATGAAACGAAAAAGAAAATATTTTTATTCGAGCTAAGGGCTTTGCTCTTGAAACATTTGTTTTTTTTTTTATCAATAGTAATCGTTACATCAGAGATTAGATTGAGATTGAGATTAGATAAATAGTTGCCATTATTTTATCGGGACTAAAATTTAAAACCTGTTCTTATCTTTCGATAAATGGGAGATTATCGTCGTCTTAACTGGATCTATGGAAATAAGAAAATGTGTGGAAAAATACAATCATAATCCTCCTACCTACATCTGAGAGGCCACTACATGAAAGCCTTTCCAAAACCACGAAAAGAAACATGATGCATGACTGAAAACAATTCATTGAATCTAGGGTGAACTGCAAGTAGCTGAAGGAAACCTTCGCTTTGATTCCCTACAGGGAATACAATGATAATTCTGTCATTTTGACAAGGCTGGCTCTATTGTGATGCATTACCGACAAATTTTGTCTGTGTTATGAGTGGCGGGTTAATTTACATTTATAGAATGTTTAGGATAATGATGAATTCTCTTTTGTATTGACAAGCATATTTCTGTTGATTAATTATTAATGACCTCCTCGCCTCACAGGAGAACAAGGTCTTTGAAAAATTAAAAAAACAAAAATATTGGAAAGTCTTCTCTACTTGTCACGAAAAATTTAATTTGTAGCGGCAAAACATAAACGGTAACCCATGCTATCTTAACACAATTTTCACATTATGTAAATTTAGGGATCACGAATGAAAAATCTCGACAATCCCTCTAATGAACCATTAGAGAATTATCTCTCATTTAAAACAAATGCTGATATTTTCGAATTACATAAATTTGAAAGAAGCGCAGACAGGTTAGGTTAAAGTCAGTTCTTGCCAATGGCTTACGGTTTAAGCTTGGGTCATTTGGCGCAAAGAATAACTCCCGACCTATAATGAAAACATCTTGATTTAATAAATAGTTCAAAGGCTTAGATTGAAAACCATAATTTGTATGCAAAATTCTTTAAAATTCTTTGATATTTATTTAAGAGAGAAGATACAAAGTTATAGCAAGATTTAATAATGAAGGAGTCTTTGCTTAAAAAACTTTGACCTTGGCCTTCCAAAAGAGTTACCCATTTTTTATTTCAATTATCAATATCTACAGTTCTACTAACTGTCAGAAAAAAAATCAACTAAGGGTCCTCCCGAGGTACCGACCCCACATTAAAAAGACACATCCTCAATTATATGTTATTCCACCTCAGAAAAATGTCTGATAAAGCTATTTCGAAAAAAAAAAAGAAAAAAAGATCTGAAAACACAAGTACTGAACGTGAAGAGCATACATAGTAAAAGTAGGAAAAAAAAATGAGTTTACGGAAATCATATATGCCTGAAATCCGATCGAAGTTCTTTTTTTTCGGCTTCCAGACTCCTCAGAATTTTTTTGAGAATTCGAATGAAACAAAAGTGACCTGCGAAAGTTTAGTTTAAGTCTAATTATAGCATCTCTATGCTTGTAATCTCTTACGCTGAAACCATTCGTTCTGCCTGTGATACGCCGAGCAAGTATTATTTTTTATTATTTTTAAATGCAATCAACGCACAATCAAAAGTTGCTATACCTATGAACATTCATCTAGTCACTGGTTGAGCTGAATAGGAGAGGTCTTGTCACGCTAGGAGTCCATCGCAGGGTTACCCCAAGCACATTTGCTGGTACCCATTTGTACACCTGGGTGAAGAGAAGCACTGTGAGAGTAAAGTCTCTTGCCTAAAAACACAATACAATGACCCCGGCCAGGGCTCGAACCCGGACCACCCGATCCGGAGTCGAGTGAGGCCACCGCGTCTCCTCGATTGTTGGAAATAAGTTACGTGGAAAAAAAATGCTTAAACGACAAGTGAAAAGCTGTGGTTTATGTTCTGTAAATTCGTTCACCTGTTTGCCACAGGATGGATATTCGCAATCTATCAGATTTATAGTGCTAGTTCCCTGGGCCAATACCACACACAGCTTTGAGCATCATTTGGTTATTTTCAATTTGAAGACCTTACTTTCACCTCGGTACGTTTCAGTGAGTACAAATGTCCTCTGAAAGAATTCCAAGAGACACCATCTGCATACGAATCATTGAATGATCCTCCATGATATAAGCCGTCGAGGTTAGAACGACGACAAAGCTTTAACCACCAAGCACCTTTGAACCAAAGCGAACAGTTCCTACTGCTCAAGCTGTTGTCCACATCTTTTGTCGTGAAAGACTTATTGCTAAAATAAATCATCCAAACGATAATGCAATCGATCAGTCTGTCAATCAATCAGAAAATCAATCAGGCAATAAGGCAACCACTCAGTTAATTAATCCGTCAATTAAACAAGCAATAAATCTGTCAATCAGTCAGTCAATTTATCAGTCAATCCAAAATTTGTTTAGCCAGTCTCTTAATCATTAAGTGTAGTATTGTTCAATTAATCATCCCACCTATGAAAAAATTAGTCAATCATTATAATTCTTCATACGCATAGGGTTCGGGTCAGTCAATAATCGAGGGCAAACACCGAATCTAGGTAATATTCCTTTGTGATTATCTGAAGAGTACCTAAATATGCTCTATTTAGGTGATTCTAACAATTTACTACCTTTAATAACAAAACCAACCAAGCTCACTCATCATACTTCTACTCTGTTTGATCACATTTACACAAATTCTAATACGAGTGTGGGTGCCTGTATTGCGCTGGTTGATGTCTCTGACCATCTACCAGTGTTTTGTATGCTTGATCGACATATATCAAGGTATAAGAGAACATTCTATTTTCGTGATTATAGCAACTTTGACGTGGACCAATATATTAGAGATGTAGATGCGGTCGATTGGTTCAATGTAAGTAATGAATCTAATAATATTCACGAGGAAACTGCTAATTGTATAAGTATACTCAAGCAAATTGCAGACAAGCATGCATCTATAAAGAAAGCCTCTCAAAGTAAAAGGAGACAATTGGCTAAACCGTGGCTTACTAAAGGTGTATTGACTTCAGTTAAATTTAAGCAGAAATTATACAAATCACACTTTCTTAGTAGAGGTCCTGATAAGGTAAAAGAATATAAGCTTTATGTAAAAAAACAGAAATAGAAAAATTGAATTTGCAACGGCGAAACATATACGGTAACCCATGCTATCTTTGCACAATTTTTACAATATGTAAATTTAGGGATCACGAATGAAAAATCTCGGCGATCCTTCTGTTGAACCATAAGCAAATTATCTCTCATTCAAAACAAATGGTGATATTTTCGCATTACTTACATTTGAAATAAGCGCAAACAGGTTAGGTTAAATTCAGTTCTTGCCAACGGCTCGGCAGGTGGCAACATGGACGCTCATAGGTAAACCACTTTTGGTTGGGTTGTGATTGCTTTCAGGATTTACTTTAAAATTTGAATTATCGACGTAAGAAAACAAAAATTGATATTTGCGCTGCATGTTACGCGTATAACGACTGGTTGGGATGTAAGAGGTCACAAGCACTTGGAGGCTTTTACGTCGTGCTGAACTTTACAAAAAATTGTTCAACTTTAAAAACTGCTTTTTTTGTTGTTGACATACTTAATAAAATTCTAGAGTAGTCTTTTATTCTTCTGAAAATTTTGAGTGATAATATATGAAGCTCTCGAAGCTAATTACATAGAACTTCGATTAAAAATATGATTATCGTGGACTACTTTATTTGTTTTACTGTGAATGCCTTGCCTTTCCGTACAATGTTATGTGGTCTTTTTAAGAATTGTTGCATGAGGCGTCACTGAAGTGAACACACGTGGGACACCTTCTACCATTAGTATAGATTTATCACTTGTTAGAGGCAATTCGTTTTATAGAACGACAATTAGTCAAGAATGGTGTCTTCTTAATGTACCGTGCGTAGTTCTAGTTGACCCTTTTGTGATTTTGTCCTCTAATACAATTAGTATATCTTTTTTCTGTAGTGCGCCAACGTTCTAGAAAGTTTAGTAATGTACTTGATTTCACAAGAGGATTTTAGTAGCAAGATTATGATAACGTATGTAAACTATGGGCTGTACTTAAACACTAGTTCATCGGCATGAATTTTGATAACATTGTAGAAGAAGACTTTCATATATTCTTTACCGTTTATTGTAGAAGAAAATTTAATTTAATGGTGTCATCATATAAACGTATTTACTTGCTGAGGTAGGTTTGGTGCAAGTTTTAGGTCAAATTTTTTCCTTGTCGTTCACTCCAGCATAAACATTTTCTTACGCCCTTGATTTTATTTTCATCTCACTGCGTTTTAGTGAGTAGCGATAGCCCCGGAAAGTGAGCCAGTTGACTCCTTTACCATAAGAGGCTTCGGAGCCATTATGGTACAATCCATTCAGATTGGACCTATAGCAGTTGTTGTACCACCAAGCTCCCTTGTAGTGTTCGGCGCAGTTGGACACGTAATTATAAAGACCATGATCATTGTCTTGGTCATTTGTAGAAAACTGCATATTGCTGAAATGAAATGAAATCTCACGTAAGCTTGTTT